CCCGAATCCCTAAACCCTAAAGCCCTGCTTAGCGCAGGGCCTTGCTAAGGTTGGCCTCTTCGCAGCGGGGCAGACTGGAAAGCTAGGCGCGACATCTGGCTTGAGGGGCGGAAATTAGGGATTTAGGGTTGAAGGTTTTAGGATTTAGAGTTTAGTGTTTAGGGTTTAGGGATGTTTAGGGATCCCTTGGTGTGGGTTGCAAGAATCAGGGCTGGAAACTGCAATGCTCTTTTCAGGTAGGGGTGGTGCAATGCTAGAGAGGGCTTTTGTTCAGGGCTGTGGTCTCGGATCATACACTCCCCCAAACTAGCGGTACTTTCACCCTAAACCCTAAACCCTAAACATTAAAAAAAAAACAGTAGTCTTTGTGGGACCCTTCTTGCTTCTTGGGTTTCCGTGTTCGTAGTTCAGTATCACGTCTGTGATGCACTGATGAGTTGGTTCAGGGTCTAGGTCTAGGGTTTAGACTGGGCCTCGTGGACCGGGCGCATAGACAAGCCTGCTGCAAAAGCGGGTTCAGGGTCAGGTTTCATTTTTAGTTTTGAGAGTAGCATTGAGGTCCATACCTACTGTCCTGGACCTACACAGGCTATAGTCCAAACTCCTTGAAGTGGGTTATATAGGGGAGTATATACGGGAGTGTTACAGGAGCCGTCAAGGGGATACCAGCAGCTTTTGACTATAGCTCACATGAGCTATAGTCTAAATTCCTTAAAGTGGGTTATCTAGGAGATTATATAGGGGATTACTACAGAGGTTATTAGGGGGGATGCTAGGAGTGTAGACTATAGCTCACATAGGTGCAGCACTGTCTGCCTCCATTCCGCTGCGCTGCTGCAGGTGTTGCTTACGGGCATCTAGGTGCCACCTATGGACGCTTGGTTGGCAAGGGAAGCTTAAACCTAAACCCTAAACCTTCACCCGTGCAAGCAACAAAACATAAACCCAAGCCCTAAACCCCAAACCCTAAACCACAAACCTTAAACCTCCACCCTAAGGATATCAGAGCATCGTCGGGTTCTTTCCGGAGCTTAACATCTCCCTGGCTTTGGCCACAAACATTGAGACTGACAAGCAGGCCATGAGACCATGCCCCACCTTGACTGGTGCTTCCCATGTGAGTCCTTCAAGGGGGTTATATAGGGTTTAGGGTTTCAGGCCATACAGGGTTTTGGGGTTAAGGGTTTGGGGTTTAAATTCATGAAACAGGGTTATACGGCGGTTATATATGGATCCCTTTACCGGGGTTACTAAGGTGGACACTAAGAGTTTAGACGAAAGCTTATGTAGGGTTCTCTCAAAACGTGGCTACTCTCGGGAACTCAGGGACAGGCATCATGGGCCTGAATTTAGAGGTCCCTTTTGAGTATTGTTTAGGGTTTAGGGTTTAGGGTTTAGAGTTTTAGGCTACATTTTAAGAAGCTCCTATGTGATCGTTGGGAAATTCAATAACTTCTCCTGCTTGGACGAATTTAACACCACTTGGCAGGTTCAAACTCCCGACACGATGTGCTTCTCCTACAACGCTGTGGCAGGCCCTTCTCCCCATTGTTCGCATTTATAATGCTAGCAGGGCTTTGGGGCATACTATGATCTGAATATAAGGATTGCAAGGAGATGTGTTGGTAGTTGTTCAGGCTTCTAGGGCGTTTCTGTGTAAGTCAGATGCCATACGAGCTGTTCAACGGGGCTTGCGGTTACCACCATTTTAAGATTTTGTGCTCACCCGGATACATGAGCAAGCAGAACGCAAAGCCGTTTATGCAAAATTATCCGGCAGTGTCTTTCGTTGGTGGGGTTTTGCATTTCAGGTTCCTTTGCCCTGAAATCTGTCAATCCGCTACTGTACCTGCTGAGAGCCACACAGTGAAAGCGCCAGGGCATGTGCACCCCCTAGCGTTGAATGCAGGATGAAGCCCGGGTTATAAGCATGTAATGTCCTATCGCGTCTTACAAGTATTGTCGTTAATGCCGAGATGTCTGGCAGTATGACTGCTTCGGTGGTTTCAGGTAAGCGTCACTCCTGATTCTGGGAAGGCTTGTTGCTAAACAAGACCTTCCACTGCACCTTCAAGACGATGGGCTACTACGGCGGCCAGTGCAAGTGCACGGAACAGCTTGAGCTGATCGTTTGAGGCTGCTTCTTTTGAGGGTTTAGGATTTCGGGTTGCAAGATTACGCGGGGACATGGCAAAGGTCTACAGAGACCCTTACGGGGAGGGGCTGAAGGTTGGGGGACCTGAGGTATGGGACAGCGGTGGTTTGGTTTTGCATGGGTTTTGGATCTTTGGGTTTTGGATTCCAGGATGGACCCTAGACCCTCTACGCCCTAAACCCTGAACTCTGAGGGGTTTCATGTCTTGGCTTTCTTTCCCAGTTGTGGCGTGCAAGGTGCCCCTCGACGAATGAAGCTCTGTGTACCCCAAGTTGGAGGAGCAGGGTACTGCGCCCAATTCATCCTTTCTCTTGTCCAGTCATGGTAAGCCCCATGCCCTAAACTGGTAATCTTTTCCCTCTACTGTGAAAAGGCCCGAATCCTAATGTTAAATACACCCCTTGCGGCATGTTAGAATGCAAGAGGCAAGTACAAACTGCCGCACAGGTCCAGCCAAGCCTCTGGGGTTTGGGGTTGCCGACTCTTGGCGAGGTACCAAGCTTGTTGCGAAATTGTATCAATGTACGACGCCCCTAGGTCAGAATGCATGTCCTTTGTGGGAGCAACGTTAGAGCTGAAGCTTTCTACCCGAACCTGAAGTTTTTCAGGCTAAGCCCCAATCCCTATGAAGCCGTAGATGTCCCTATACATCCTTATATGACCCTTTTTGAGAAACAGACCCCTGTAGCTCAAACAGCCAGCAGCAGCAGGTGCCCAACCTTCATTGCGCACAGCCCGCCCGTTTCACTGCTTTTGGTCTGGACTGGGGCTTGGTGCTGGCCCCTTTCCTGGACCCACCCTGCCGCAACAGACATCTTAATATCTTTCCATCCTTCTGTTTCCAGAAGCAGGGGTTTCCTTTTGGGTTTCCCTGTCTCAATGTGGACCATTCTTTTCTACCTGTGGACCAACATGTGGAGAGGTTCCCATCTAGGCCAGATGACTCTAAACCCTAAACCCTGAACCCTAAACCCTGAACCCTAAACCTAAGCAGTCCTTGTTGATTCTTGCGACATCAGCACCAGAGAAAGGCACGGAGGCTGGAAGCTGTTAGGGCTCCAGCTGCCCCGAAATCCTTTTGGCAGCTTGGGGGGTTGCTCTGACTGCGTAGCTGCAATTTAGGGTTTAGGAGTTATGGGTTATGGTTTGGGCTTAGCCTTCGTAGAATCACCAGAGAGTAGCTCCAAGGGGTTTGAGGTTGAGTCATCCTTTTCTGGGGCTCCCTGTAACCTGGTGTATCCGTGTTGTGAGATAAACCATCATCTGCAAGCCGAACGCCACTTGGAAAGTATCGCTTTGCTGGCCCAGTATGCACTTTGAGGGTTTTTCTGAAGACTCAACCCTAGTTGTGCTGAGTGGAGTCTGTCTACTTTCAAAGAGTCCTTAATAGGGACCCCCTGATCCAATTGTAGCCATCTTTATCCGTAGGGTCCCCAAGGGCCCAATTCTGCGAAAACCCTACAAGGGTCATTCCCGCATATCATGGGCCATGTTTGGATGCCTTTCTAGTACTGCGCCATCTAGAGGTACCAAAACCAGAGCCCTGATTTTTGGAAACTAGCCTTGTGGTTCCTTTAGAACAGAACTTGCCAACAACAACAAGGTACCCTTCTTGTGGCATGGTTCCTGGGCTACCAAAGTACCCGAATCCTTGTCCGTAAGTCCTACACCCTAACCCCAAGCCTTGCAAATCAAATTTGGACCTTATCCTAAACCCTAAACCCCAAACCCTTAACCCCAAACCCCTGCACCCCTAAAACCCTAAACCCTAAACGGCCCTAAAGGCGTCTGGCTTGCAGCAGCGCA